ACTCGACGCTGACCGATTTGGCAGCTATCGAATACCCAAAATATATCGAAATGTCAGTCATCCTGATCGCCGCCGGCAGATCAGGAGTGATGTCCAAAAACTCCCAATTTGGGAACTCGGACATCACAACAGTCCTTTCGCAAGAATCAGCCACCCACAATTATATAAAAAATGCAATAATCCGGAAAAACTTCGAAAAAGAAACCGTCAATGGTGATTGGTGACGCGGTGATACCAAAAATACAAATAGCACACGATATACCTCTTTTTTGAAAAATTCACCGCGTCACCCATCACCACCCCAAATCTGCGCAACGAAAAAGGTCAATTTTAAGTAAAATTCACTTAAATTTCACTTAAATTCACTTAAATGGAATGCGCAGATTTAGACCATTTTGGTGACATTTCCAAATGACCTACCACATATGGTCCACTGTAACACCCCATCCTCAGAAGCATACCCATATGGTTGAAATCGAGCCACATGGCCTACATCAACTTTTATACCCACCTGCAAGTCAATTTCGCCCATGTGCGAAATTGATGTGCAGCTTTCGCGAGCATCTTTGACCAAACGTGCACATCGATTTCGCGCATCCCCCTCCACCCCTTGGACAATGTTATAAACTATGTTCACTTGTCTCTCTATTGAACTACTGGACTCTTCTGTGGGCTAGCATAGGCTGCTTCACAATACAAGACAAAAGAGGAACAATGTCCAAGGGGGTGGGGAGGGGGTTTGTAAAAAAATGTACGACTTTTGCAAAAAGCCAGCAGCACCCTAAGGACTTCCCGGGCGGTCCCCCACCCCAGTACTATCCGGGCCTTGCGCCGCTTAACTTCGGAGTTCGGATGGGATCCGGTGTATTCGACGCAGTATGGCCGCTGGCGATCATAAAGTCGACCAAAAAGCCAAGTTACCCCCAACCGCGCACACCCAAATTTGGACAAGTCGAGGATTTTCAACCCATAAGGTATGATCCTCCATCCAACTTCAAACGCTCATCAGGACACTATACCGCGATCCAACTCAACCGTGCCCCACACCAGAGCTCTCAGAAGCTCTTGAGTGTGGAGTAATCCGCCTTTTTAAATCGAGTCCGTAGATGGAAATAGAATAGGAGGAGACAAATCGGCGCAACACGGGATGAATCTCAGTGGATCGTAAGACTAAGCCTACTCTCAACACTTACAATACCCGGATGCAATTAAGTCGTCTTCAAAGGATTTATCGAGCCCAATACTTGCAATTGCTATGATCACCATACACTCTGACCACAAGTCAATGCAGCCAGAGGTATAGCAGCTTGAATTTTGGTCAGGCCGAAGCCTGACCTAGCCTTTTTCTTGTAGCATTGAGCACGGTGTACAACACTGCTTATCCAGCATGGATTCCGGCTTAGAGGCGTTCAGCCGTAATCCAGCAGATGGTAGCTTCGCCGTACTGTCTTTTCAGACAACGGCATTAACCAAGTATCTGGACGAAGTGTTCCTCTCGTACTAACTTCGACTACTGTCGCAGTATCTACTTTGTCAGTAGGGTAAAACTAACCTGTCTCACGACGGTCTAAACCCAGCTCACGTTCCCTATTGGCGGGTGAACAATCCGACACTTTGAGACTTCTGCGTCTCAATGATAGGAAGAGCCGACATCGAAGGATCAAAAAGCAACGTCGCTATGAACGCTTGGCTGCCACAAGCCAGTTAAGAAATACCGACGTTACTTCAGCAAGTTAAGATACCGACGACATTTACGGTTTCCCAATCTCAGCATATCCTGTATAACTTTTATGAGGTCAAACCCTCTTGTCGAATCCGAGGAATTTCAATTCGATAAAGAACGCACTCAAGTATGCCCTCGTCGCAAAGTCTCCGCAAAAAATACCTACGTGCATATGTCACAATTTCCGTGTTCTACGAAAAGCCCAGATTTGCGCTTTGCGCCCGCGCAATACTCGATTTGGCTTTCAAAATTTTGATTCCAATTTTTTTGTTTTGTGTCGGTAGAAATTAACTTGCGGCATGTAGAACTCCTAAGATTCTCTAAACTCGTATAATGCTACGTGGTATACATCATGACTTTTCTCGTTGTTCGACTATCAGATGCAGAATAATGTGTAAACTCATCTTTGCGGAGAGCGTACATCTGTGCTTTAATAGACAGGCGATAAGTAAAATACATGTTGAGTGTTTGAGATTGGCATGTATACTGTTGATCTCGTCTCATAACGTCTAAGAGAACGCTGTATACAAAATTCGTTAAGTACTACATGTTGCTAATTCTACAGTGGATCCTGTTTGTACGTGTCATATTACTAACTGTCCAGCGCCTGCGTTATTCTTTTCTTTATAGTATAGTACGCTACGTAATGTACGCTACAGTACGTTTACTTATCTTTACTTTGTGTTTACAGTTTCACTCGGTTAGTATGGATTTATGTTGCATTTAGACATTTGTCTTTCGTATCGTCTTAACTTGACAAAAAGGCTGCCTTGTTCTTGCTTTTGTTGTGTGATGTAGGTCGACAAAAGTCTACTTTAGGTCGATAGTACATTGTACTATACACTGTCGTCTAATTCGTTTGTTTTCGAACGTTGATCTACGGTGCAAACGTTCGTACTCGTCTGCGTTGAATGAGGCTACAATCTTGAACACTAGCAATCTTGCATTTCCCATGTATCGGGCGGGCGACATTTTCATTTCGCACGACATGTTGTGCGATACCGCAGTGGCATTCTTTCAACGTTGAGGGTTCTTAAGTCTGTAAGTGCGCGAGACATTGTGTCTGCGTGCAGGCTGTTTTGCGCGTTGCGTGAAGCAAAGAAGAAAGCTGAGTTGTGGTTGGTAAGCTCGGTAGTTGAGTGTACTAAGCTCTGGACCGCTACAGAGTTCCTGGTTCACTTACTGCACTGTTGAGGTACGCAACTGACGTCTAGTTACGGTGCAAGCACGTTACGTTGGTCAGAAGGTAGCTTGTATATCCAGTAGTTCAGACCTTGAGTTGATAGTAGTCATGGTTCTAACGCGAAGTGGAGCACGTAGTGAGGCCACTCATATATTAGAGGGTGTTCGCCGTTCTCCGAGACTTATTCGCAAGTGCACTGAGGATACGTCACGCGTCAGTACAAGGCAGAGTCCGTCGGTTCGATCAACTAGTACTTGGGGTTGTAAGGCTCGCGGTATCAACGCAGCCAGCGTCGGCAAGGGTTCGGTTGTGGTTACACCATCCACAAATTCTATTCCTTCGGGTAATAGTGCCGTCCCCACTCGCCCGCACGCACAATGTGCTAGCTATTTCCGTTTCTTGTGGTCATCGATCTTACTTGAATTAGTCCTTATTGAACGTCTGCGTTCTGTGTTGTCTATACTCCTGATAGCTTCTGGTACTTTGAATATCTTTATTCACGTATGTCTACTACTAAGTCTTCATACAAAAAGAAGCCTATGCTGGACAAGGAGCAATTGGAGGATTTAGGTAGTACTGGGCATGGTAAAAACAGTTAGGTGGGTAATCTTGTTGAACTCGCAATATTATATTTTTCTTGGCCATTTTTATTGCGGTGTCTGTGTATGCTTTAAACAGTATACGTGTGTCATAAGTTGGCATTATATGCCTCAGACAGACGTTTCAGATTCTGCTTCCATTATCTGGCTGGTATATATTTCTTGTTTTGTATCATTTTTATTTCGGTGTTTTTCTATGCATAAAAGATTATAAGTTTGTCACAAGCTGCCATTATGTGGCTGAGATATACATAGGTTGTACCTAATGAGTTTAAACGATCTGTTCAACAAATGATTAACATTTTGACGTCTTTCCTTTGCTTTGTACCTGTCTTAGTGAATTATATAGCAATTACATTCTTAATGTGTCGTACGGTAACGATAATTGCTTTGGACTCATATAAGGTTTTCTATTATCTGCAGTTCGGTGTCTGCTTCTGTGTACAGTTTTATTCGTATGTCACAAGCGAGCATCGTATGCCCGAGACATATACACTATTTAGCAGGTTCTCTTGTGGTCGTATCGGTTGTTTCAATTAGACATGGCTATTATGTCATTCGGTGGCATTATCTGCCTCAGACATATATCATATCTTTTCTATATTCATTTCGGTGTTTATGCATATGTCTGAGGCATATAATGCCAACTTATGACATACGGATAATGCATAAATACCAAGTAGCTAATCTTTCAGTGGCTTTATATGCCTTCGATTTGCTCGCTCGGTTTTTGTATGTAGTGCCTTCGAATTTTGTTATCAACTTGTTGATAGACACATGTTTTATTGTATTTATACGCGCTACATATAAATGCTTAGTATGTGATAAGCTCGTTACAAATTGGCATTATCTGCCTAGGACGTAGCTTGCTACGCTTTTCATAATCATGTGTACATAGCGATATCCCACAAGTATGTCATAAAATGGCAGTATATGCCTGAGACATATGTTTGCTGTGTACTCTTTGCAGTGTATTATCTATGTATATACTAATATTATAAGAATGTGTCGAACATTGGCAGAATATGCTTGTGACATACCAGCTTTTTAGCATCATCTGGGTTTTTATTTATACGCCTAGCGAAAAACTAAAATCATACCAATTAAAATTCAAATCTATACGTTATTGAAAAATAATTGCTAATTACGAAATGACTACAGACATGTAAGTTTCTGTAATTATAGGCCAATATACATTTTATTTTCTTCAGATTCTATTGTGAAGTCTGCAAAAGAGTATTCGTTACACTTCAACAAGTACAACAACATGTACAAAATCAAATACATATTCAAAAACTAAATCAAATGGATGTCTCTAATGAACAGTAAGTCAACAATATATTTATAATTACCTTTTTATCTTTTTTTATTTCTTTCAGGCCATCTATGCGAATTTTACCGTTTGACAACAAGATTAAAGAAGAAGAAAAAGAAGAAGAAAAACAACAGTAAGTCACCAAATTTGTAGTATCAAACATATATATAAATGTAACTTTTAATTATATGTATAATTTTTTTATGTATATTTAATTATAATTATATACAATCACATGTATATAATAAATCAAAAATATTTTGCATGTTTTACAACATATGAAAAATAGGTATATGCTACAAACGATACAGTTTTCATTTTCAGGGAAGGATACGGTTGGTATTTAGAAAAAGCACCATGGAACATTCGAAAAATGTTCACAATTGATGATCATGGTTACAAATGCAATATGTGTAGTAAGTCATCATTATTTAATACACTAATTATTT